GTGTATTTTACTTGAAGTTCTTGGGTGCATGTTCAGAACATGCAGGTTTGTTACGTAGTTATACATGTTCCATGATGGTTTGCTGCATCCATCACCCCATCTACATTAGGTATTTCTCCTAATGCTATCTCTGCCCTAGCCCCCACTCCCCAACCGGCCCCAGTGTGTGATATTCCCTTCCTTGTGTTCATGTGTTCTCATTATTCAATTGTCACTTATGAGTGAGAACATGCAGTGTTTGGTTTTCTGTTCTTGTGTTAGTTTGCTGAGAATGCTGGTTTCCAGCTTCATCCATGTCCCTGCAAAGGAATTCATCCTTTTTATGGCTGCATAGTATTCCATGGTGTATATGTGCCACATTTTCTTTATTCAGGCTATGATTGATGGGCATTTGGGTTGGTTCCATGACTTTGCTGTTGTGAACAGTGCTGCAATAAACATACGTGGGTATGTGTTTTATAATAGCATGATTTATAATCCTTTGAGTATATACCCAGTAATGGGATTGCTGGGTCAAATGGTATTTCTAGTTCTAGATCCTTGAAGAATTGCCACTGTCTTCCACAATGGTTGAACTAATTTACACTCCTACTAACAGTGTAAAAGCATTTCTATTTCTCCACATCCTCTCCAGCATCTGTTGTCTCCTGACTTTTTAATGATCACCATTTTAACTGGCATGAGATGGTCTTTCATTGTGGTTTTGATTTGCATTTATCTAATGACGAGTGATGATGAGCTTTTTTTCATGTTTGTTGGCTGCATAAATATCTCTCCTTATGAGAAGTGTCTGTTCATATCCTTTGCCCACTTTTTGATAGGGTTGTTTATTGTTTCTCTATACTGTAAATTTGTTTAAGTTTTTGTAGATTCTGGATAGTAGTCCTTTGTCAGATGGGTAGATTGCAAAATTTTTCTCCCATTCTGTACATTGCCTGTTAACTCTGATGATAGTTTCTTTTGCTGTTCAGAAGCTCTTTAGTTTAATTAGATCCCATTTGTCTATTTTGGCTTTTGTTGCCATTGCTTTTGGTGTTTCAGTCATGAAGTCTTTGTCAATGCCTATGTCCTGAATGGCATTACCTAGGTCTTCTTCTAGGGTTTTTTATGGTTTTAGGTCTAATGTTTAAATCTTTAATCTATCTGGAGCTAATTTTTGTTAAGTATAAGGAAGAGAACCAGTTTCAGCTTCCTGCATATGGCTAGCCAGTTTTCCCAAAACCATTTATTAAATAGGAAATCCTTTTCCCATGCTTGTTTTTTTCCGGTTTGTCAAAGATTAGATGGTTATAGATGTGTGATATTATTTCTGAGGCCTCTGTTTTGTTCCATTGGTCTAGATCTCTGTTTTGGTATGAGTTTATGCTGTTTTGATTACTGTACTCTTGTAGTATAGTTTGAAATCAGGTAGCATGAAGCCTCCAGCTTTTTTTTTTTTTTATATTTTTTTTTTAATTCTATGAAGAAAATCAATGGTAGCTTGATGGGGATAGCCTGAATCTATAAATTACTTTGGTCAATATGGCCATTTTCATGATATTGATTCTTTCTATCCGTGAGCATGGAATAGTTTTACATTTGTTTGTGTCCTCTCTTATTTCCTTGAGCAGTGGTTTGTATTTCTCCTTGAAGAGGTCCTTCAGATCCCTTGTTAGTTGTATTCCTAGGTATTTTATTCTCTTTGTAGCAATCGTGAATGGGAGTTGACTTATGATTTGGCTCTCTGTTTGTCTGTTATTGGTGTATAGGAATGCTTGTGTCTTTCTGTATGTATTCTAGAATGCAAATAGTAACCCTGATTTTCCAGTTATCACATCAATCATACTATTTATTGAATGCATACTATGTTTTGCTATAGTATTAGATGCTGTATGTTTCTTTTAATCCACACAATTATTCAGTAGGGTCAGTGCTAATATTTCCATTTTTAGATGAAAATGATGAATCCACCAACAAAATTCATCAATATCCAATGAATCTGTGTTTATTCCTCTTGGTCACTCTGAGGAGTCAGTATCAGAAGATCCTGGAATTAATTTGTCACTCTGATTCCAAAAAGTTTCTAAGATTTAAATCTTCTACATTATTTTGTATAGAATCATTGATAATTTTTGTGTCTCATTAAGAAAGAAACTGAAGCTATGTTAATATAATCATAATAAGATTAATTTGGCACTGTTAGGTCATGGAGAAAGGCTGCGGAAAGTGGAGCAATAATAAAACCTTTGTCATATCAGGTCATGTTATATTTGATCATGACATAATCATTTTCAAAGTGATTTAAGTTAAACTAGAAATTATAAAAAGAAACATGCCAGGTATCAGAGTAGAATAAATTTAAAGTCAGATGGATAGAACCCGGGTCTTTTAACAATATGCTGTTAGACTCATAATTATCTTATTTATTATGCTAAATAATCTGATAAATGTGGTAAAACCAGTGAACTAGGTTTTTCTAATTTGTTGGTTTTCTGTAAGAGGATTATCACTAGAGTTATTTTTTAAATCAAAGGTGCCACTGTACTTTTCTTTAGGGGAAAATAATCAGAGGAGATTTCATGTGAAAGAAAGTCTTAAATCAGGTATGTACTTCACAATTTGATTGAGACAGGTTTACAGCATTACCTTCGTGACTGTTAAAAAAATTCAGGGGTGCTTATGTGACAACAAACATTTCAGATAATAAAGAACCCCATTGTTATGTGTATCTTTGTGTTTAATCCCATTTTTTTAAATGAGTAGTTTGCAGTTAGTAAATAAAAATACAGTTAGTAAAGCAAACCGAAAAGTTAAGTGAATCTCAGCTTAACCCTAGAATGTTGGGATTTTATTCCAGTGTAATCTTAATTTCTTTGTTTCAGTCTCTAGTGGAAAGTATTTTAATGTTTGGTTTTTAATTACTGTTTTGAATTTATTTAACAGATCCACCAAGACTCATCCAGGTCCAGTTGTACATTTAAGTGATAGCCCAAGAGATGAAGGGAAAGTGAGTATTACGATATTATTATTTTTTTTATTTTCCTCATTCTTGAAAAAAGGTATACCTTACTATTATTGTATATCTAATATCTAGCCCAGTTGATAGCATTTTATATTATTTAAAATGAAAATTTGTAGAATTAACAAATGAGTAAATGAATGAATGAATGAATGATTCACACTACTGATGGTGCCAAATTAAGTCTTTAGCTTTATTGAGAGCTAAAATTGGTGTTTAATACTGGCATTTTGAAGATGATAACATGTAGAACAACTTTAATTTTCAAATACTCTGTGCTTGAATTTAATAATGTGATTATAATTTTCCTTTGTTACTCAGTTTGGTAAGGATAAATGATCAATATTAGATAATATAAATTAGCCAATCTTGATTTTATTAATATGTACTTATATATAAAAGGTTATATTACAGAAATAATTCTTATTCACTTTGATTATTTCATAATTTGCCTTTAGTGGTGAGGAAACAGTTGAAAACATGAAAATATCTAAAGTTTCTCTATTATTAAATAATGTTTCTTCAATATATAATTTTTGCTAAATACTATAGAAAACATTAATAAATTATTTAGTATGTAGGTTTGGTTCTTTGTTTATTTTTAAAGGATAGAAACTGAATTAGCCTACCAAAAATTGAACCTGAAAGGCAAGTCCACTCACCCATGGAATAACACTGGGTTCCTTCACATTGATCCACAAGTACAATATAATTCCAATCAGGTGTCATCAGAGTTTATTTTTTAAGAATACAAAAGATGATTTTAAAATTTATTAAGAAAAGAAAATGTTTATAAATAGCCAAGACATTTTTGAAAAAGAAATGCAATGTTATATTGGTACAGGGGTGTACAAGAAGACCAATATACCTAAATAAATAATCCCTAAATGTTTCAGGTATTTGGGAAAATGGTATATATTTTAGAGAAGATATTTGAGGACATAATTAGCTGTTGAAAAAATGGTGTTGGACAATTGGTTCTTCATTTTGAAAAGAATAGTAAGACCTCTGCCTCATGCATACATAAAGAACGAATGTTTAGTAAACATTAAAATCATGACTCAGAAAGTATTCAAAGATGCTTGTAGGATATGGGTTATTAGTTACTATGGAGTAGGGACAGTCTTGGATAAAAATCTAAAAACTTTAGGGCATATGCTATTACAAGTCTATCATAATAAGAGATAGGCAACAAAGTGGGATGTAATATTTCCTAGATGTCACAAATAATGAACACTGAAAATATATAAAGAACTTGTGCTAAATCCTCATCTTGTAGTAAGAAATCAATATATAATATCTAATGACTAAATCAGAAAATAGCAATATAAACATATTTAGACATATGAAAGTAAGGCTACCAAAAAATATGATTTTAAGAGTTGATGTGGTTGCCTCTTACTTCTAGAGGTAGGAATTTGGCAGTGAGGAGGAAACAGTCTCACTAATAATTAGGGAAATAAAATATACAATTTGTTACCATCAGACTGACAAAACGTTAAACACTGAAAATATCAATTTAAAAATATCAGATAATGGAAAAGGCACTGGGAAATAGCATCTAAATATACGTATATATACCAGGATGAGCAATTAAGCATTATCAACATTTAAAACACATATTTATTTTTAGTATTTATTATGACCTGGAAAATTCATTTCCAATATCTACACTGTTTATTTGACTAATGGAGAAAACTGTTAAAATAGTCTAAGTGACTATTATCGAATATTGAATAAATCAATGTCCTTACTGTGGAATGTTGTGTTGATATGGAAAGTTCTTTAAGGCACAGTTTTCAAAAATAAAAGTTGCAGAACAGTAAGGTATAAAACCACTTGAGCATTGCCTTTATATTTGTACTTACATGTTCAAATGCCTAAGGAAAAAAAAGCCTGAAAAAATATAAATAAATCTGGGAGGAGACTGAAGATCAGAATTGGGGAAAATGGTGAAAGGTATTCTTATTTTTTGTGTTCAAATTTTTATGAAAGAATACAATGTGGCAATTATGTAATTGCAAAGACTGCAAAATAGGTGAATATTGGCAGCAGAAAACTATAGGTTTGAGTTGTGTCTCTAGCACTTATTAGCATATAATCTTGAATAAATCACTTTACTTCTTGTATATCAGTTTTTTCATCAATAGTCTTTCGTCACAGAAGTTTTTTTTATTTTAGCATATTCAGTTTTATCAGTCTTTTCAAGTGATTCTTGCTTTTTGTTTTTTAGTCAGTAAATATTTCCGTACCAGGGAGAAAATGCAATTCTATTTTTTCTATCTGTTTTAAGACCATGATTTTCACAATTAGATTTTAATCTTTATGTAATTTATTTTATGATGATTTGATATAGTAGACTTTTATTTGTACATGTAAATAATTCATTTATTGTATAGTCAATCTATTTTCCATTGATTATACATCTCACTCATATATCAAGTTCCCATATCTGGGTGGGTCTTCTGGGCTTTACCTTTTGCTGCATTATTTATCTACTATTGTACTGACATACTTTATTAATTATAACTTACAAAATATCTTGATATTTGGTAAGCTGGTCCCCTTTTTCTAAATTATCTTGGCTATTTCTGACTCGTTATTCTTCTGTATGAATTTTGGAATCAGCTTATCAAGCTCAGTGTAATTCGCAACTGGGATTTTATTTGAAATGTGAATGTATAACTTAGAAAATATGCATGTTTAAGATATGGGTGTTCCATTTATAAATATGATATGTTTACTTTGGTTTTCATTTGTGTTTTGCTGTAACTATAAATTTTTTATAAAAGTCTTTTATATCTTCTGCTAGTTTAATTTGATAAGTACCTTATAGATTTTATTGCCCTTGTGACTTAATCTTGTTTCATAATTGATTATCTTTAGATTATAAAATATTATTGATTTTTTAATTTTTTGTATTCAGCTACATCATTAAATGCTTTGTTTTTAATAGCTGTTCTTAGATTCTCTGGAATATTCTATGTATAAAAACAGCAAATATAGACAAATTTTCTTCCTTTCCAATATGTATAGTTATATATATCTTTTTTTGTTTTTGTTGGCTAGGACCCCAGTGCAGTGTTGAATAAAAATGGTTTTACTAGGAACTTTCTTTTGTTTCCAACCTCAAAGGAAATGCTTCCACGATTCCAGCATTAAGTAAAATGGTTATTGCAGATCTTTGATTGCTTTTATGAAGTTAAAACATTCCATCTATTTCCAATATTCTAAGAGTTTAAAATTATGAATGGTGTTGAATTTTATTGAATGCTTTCTACATATATGAAGATTATTATTTCTTAATTTGTTAATTTGTTGAATTATTTTAATAGATTATCTAACTTTCAACATGTTTGTATTTCTGGAATAAATTAAACTTGGAAGGGGAAAGCTTCTCTTGGAAGCTAATTGGTGAAGTGCAAGAAGGAACAAACTGCTAAAGTTAAGGATCCTACAAAATCAAGATAATATGGCTGGGCACGATGGCTTATGCCTGTAATCCTAGCACCTTAGGAGGCTGAGGCAGATAGATCACCTGACGTTAGGAGTTCAAGACCAGCCGGGCCAACATCGTGAAACCCTGTCTCTACCAAAAACACACAAAAAATTATCAGGTGTGGTGGTGTGCACCTGTAGTCCCAGCTACTCAGGAAGCTGAGGCAGGAGAATTGCTTGAATCTGGGATGCAGAGGTTGTAGTCAGCCGAGATCATACCACTGCATTCCAGCCTGGGCAAAAGAGCAAAACATAAAAAAAAAAAAAAAAAAAAAAAAAAAAAAAAGAAAGAAAAAAAAACAAGATAATATCATAGAATCAGAAAATAGGCCATCTTTCCACCAATATATCATTTATAAAGAAACTATGCATTTATCTATCGAATATGAGGGTACTTCTGAACTGAGAGATGCCTGTGTTGATTAGATACAGTATTGAGTACATCTGCTTGAATCCTCTCAGCTTCTCTTGTTTCCCAAACAAGAGCTGCTTGCTTCACTTCATGTGTGGTATAATTAATTAATTTCATGCAGCATTGCTTCCTGAAGTTGACAAGCTAGTCCCAGGTCTCTGGCTCCTTTCATTAATTCTGGATTCAGAAGATGTGTTACAACATAAGGCATTCAATCTGGCTTCCCTAACAGATACCAAAGGGATCAAATGACATAATTCCGAAGAAAGGGTGTTAACCTCCCATGGAGAAAACCTTGACCAATGTTAGACAAGAGACAAGTAATAAATTCTTCCTCTCTTCCTCCTTATTTGTCTAATTTGAGTCATAGTTTTCTCACATAAACTTTTGGAGACTTCTTGCAAGACCATGCCAGTACACCTGTTAGGTGACTGGTGATGTCTCTTCTGCTTCTCCCCATGAAATAGTGGTTAGTGTGATAATGAATCATCTTTCTTTTATTATTACAATCCTGAGAATGCACTACTCCCTTCAACACTAGGACTAAACCTTGCCCCAGGCTTTTTTTTATACACACTCCTGGTTAAGATAACAGTTATTACAGTTATTCTAGATAAGGGACTGCTACAGCCACGAACCAAATCTGGCATGCTGCCTGTTTCCTCAAAATGTTTTATTGAATACAGCCATGCTCATTCATTAAGGTATTGTTTGTGGCTGCTTTCTTGCTATAAGAGTAAAGCTGGACAGTTAGGCCTGCAAAGCCTAAAATATTCAATATCTGGCCTTTACATAAAAAGTCTGCTGACTCCTGTTCCAGTTTGTAAACCCTCAGTATTGGATGTTTGAAGCTAGGTTGTCTCTTGTCTAAAATCAGCAAACCTGTTGAAGGTTCCAGGTAAAGTGAATTAAACCCTTCCATGTAGTGACATCATAGTTACTTTAAAAGTGTTCTTCTGTGATTAGGGACTAATCTTTCTATTCTAGACAGATAAGACAAAGGGAGCTCAAGTAGTCATGATGTTTGATATCGGGTAATGATAATTATATAATGATGATGAAATAAAATAACTTCCTT